ATGGCCCAATCATTGCACGATAAAAAAGACGTAAATACAATTCTTGATCTATAATAGGGTCGAATAAAGGCTAACGAAGGCTAACAAATAAAGGCTTATACGTTGTAAATAATAACACACTCGATCAGCATGTTGGCATATGACATCATAAAACATCAACTCACCTTATGAAATCTCACAAATTTTCGCCGACATAGTGTATATTTTCTCACATCCTAAACGTCCATATCGAAAGGAATAATGGGATAAACAGCATTTTGCCAACATTATATGACTTTGTTCCATTTTGACGGAATATGTCTCGCCATGCTTGTAAAGTGCAAGTACGAAAAGCTTCATTGTTGACTAGGGCACTTTAATCATACTGATAATTAGCTAAATTAATAAAATCATTCAATGATCGGAACGAAAAACAATAAAATATGCACCATATAACTTTTTGAAATCAGCAAACTTCAACAATAGGGAACATTTGAAACACAAGAAAATTGGAAGTTTACTTTCTGCTGAAATTCTTCAAATTTATTGCGAAATGCATTTTCTTAGTTTAAGAATATATATTTCTTATAACAAGAAAATTATATATCATTATTTTCTTGAGAGAAAAATTCTTAAGAAAATATGTTCTCAAAATAAGAACATTATTTTTTTAAACAAGTAAATATTTTCTTTAAATAAGAAAATTCAATTTCTTAAGAAATTTATTTTTTGCTGTGCAATCCTCAGTGAAATTTAGAGAGGAAAGGAAAGCTTCGAATGTAGTATTATATTAATAATAATATTTAATACTTATATTTATAAATTTCAGTTCACCTCATGTATGTGAGAAGCACTGCTTGCTTTATTTAAATAGTTTCTGTGAGTACCTACATCTACTTTGTTTGCTTTAAAAAGTCCCTCATCTGTCGTTTTGTCGCACTTTGAAGTTTGGACTCGTCGTTTATATGGAAGGCTCCTAAATACACACAATCTTTTGGTAATACCTCTGCCCAAGGCTCCTTTGTGTTCGTTAACCAAGGAGACCATTTCTTATTCCATCCTTTCCAGTAGTGGATGATTGCTAATGTTTGGAGTAAAATGGAGTAAAAGAATTCGAACCTCGCTGAAGTTTGTAGCTTGTACAATTGTACACTTCAATATTTATTTGGAAAACATCAAACTTGTGCAATCAGGATTCAGTAATTGAGCCTCTATAAAGAGATCAATTTTTTCGCAGGAGATTTTTCTACCATTGATCTATATATATAGTACCTGAATGCAATATTTATGTTTTCCAAAAAAGTTGCGAGGCTGTAACTGTAAAGATCTTCGTTATTTACCTCTGGGATGTCTTCGAGTTAACCATTAACCAACTTTACCATCTCTTCGGAAACGACATTGGGATCAACTGGCAAAGTATCTCTATTTTCTTCTTCATTCTCGGTCGAGGAGGATCCTGTAGTATGGCCAGATTTCGCAATTCATCTAGCAACCGAGTAACTGGCTTCTCCTTTGCCATATTGCAATAAACAACGTCAACTTGTTCATAAAACTGATAATCCACTACTACTACCACTAGAATTATTATGAAATGTGAATAAAATAGCTACAGTTTGTGTTAGAATTGCTCAAACTGATTTAGAAAACTCACAACTGAGACAAAAATGGTAAAATTTTCAGTAAAAATCACCGAAAATGTTAATATTCTCTTGATTTGGCGCCAATAGAATATCCCAACCTATCGTAGAACGTGTTTTTGGTGAAACTTACCATAATATTTTATTGTTGTATTTAAAATAATACCGGAAGATTTTTCCATTGGGGTCAGCAGCGTCGTCCCTTCTCCTTCATTCCCGGTGATTAATTCACCAGGCTACTGAAGAAGAAATTTACTCTTTTTAAAAGATCTTGTGGCCCTAAATGGACAAACCCGGACGTCATGTTTGAAACGTAACCAAATCGCGCAAAATAGTTCAGGCGTTGAACGCATGATGCATCAACGCTTCAGTTTGCCGAAACATGTTTGCTTTAAGAAAGAATCGTCATATGCTTATCAAAATTGATAAAATCAAAGTTTAAGTAGGGGCTACTTTCGTCCGTGTTTATAATGACGCGTTGTTTCTTTAATATACTAACAAATATAACATCTCCTTTCTTGAGACTGTTAACACTACCCGTATAGGACGTGTAGAAGCCACTTTTCCTTCCTTGGAAACCGTTGGATGCCACCGATCTCAGCAAGAGGCTCTTTTTTGCCCCAGATAACACGAAAAATACCGAGTAGCTCCCGTCGAACTCGGCTAGCCTTGGGCTGGAAGAGTGAAATGTAACTTGAAAATACAACTGAGCGTATACGAAGTAATTGCCCGTTTCGGTGATGGTCACTGCGTTTAGGGTGGCACCAGGCGAGGTCACTTCAGGACTTGCTTGGCCCAATCCATACATCCTGTATTTCTAAAATAAAGAATTGGTTTGAGAATGTGTGCGCATGTTCTACGAGATTGACCACAAATGAGTAGGAACTTACCATCATTCAATATGCCACTCTTGCTACTGTATCCGGTTAAATGAATCACAGGTTTTGACTCGTTCGTCCGTAATCACATTCAACGTAGTTAAATTCGAAATAGGAAAAAAGCAATATTACAAGACACTACTACAGGTTGTTATTATTAAGACGGCTTATTTCTTTTGTACGCGAGAACTTACTTTGATACGTTCCCCTGTGTCGTTGCCAATTGCAAATATTCTCGTTGGATTCGGCAAGGCGTACGGTATGTATGGTGCCACCGATTCTTCTTTTGAATTGCTAATTTTCACAAAAGCAGTAACTAGCAAAGCATCGATAACAAGGCTCCATACAAGAAGAACCATTGCAATTTTAAAAAGCGAGTTAGAAATCGGCACACTTGTTTGTTTCTCCACGTCTGAAGTGCTTTCTCTTATACATGCCATTGCGCAGATATAGAACTGGTTTGCCACAAACTAGAATTCATATAGAGCAGTGTATTCATATAGAGCACTTTATTGCTATTTACTTTCTTGAGATTTGGTATTCTGTTAAGTCTCACTAATTGTGGTGACAGATGCCCCAGTGTCACATAAAAATGATGTCAGTATGTTACTTTCTTGGTCTTGCACGAATGGGCAATTATTGCGAATCTCAAATGTAATATGATTAGAATTAACAGAATGTACACGTGCTGATGGAACAGAAAATGATAGACCCTCCAGGTCAGAATTCAAAACAACAACACTCGATTCTTTATTCATTTCTTTACTTCCTTCAAATGACAAATCAACTAGATTATCACAGATTGGTACATCTGTACAAGGTAAGGGACATTGTTCTCTAGTACTAGGTCGGACTTGTACATTTATACATGGTGACTCATTCACCTCTAAATTATCTGCACACATTTTGTTTACTGGACTCAATAAATTCATTGAAACTGTATCACAATTTATCTTTGGTAGACAAGAGGAAATATCCTCTTCATATAGTACATTAACAGGCTCATCTGTGGATGAATTAAAATCAATACCAATAAGATCAGGATGTATACTGGTTCCTAATTCAATATCAAATGGGAGGCTGGCAACATCATGCTCTTCTTCTATATTAACTAGTGTGATATATCAGTAAATTGATCATATAGATCATCATCAATCTCATATTCATTAGACATTTCGAGACATTTCGTTTCTTCACAATTCTCTAAAAACTTTGCTTCCCTATCGTCCCGGTATAAAGAAGCAGCAATTAGTTTCCCGACTTCGAATGGAAAGGATTATTACCAGTGTTTCTTTGTTGAGGGTGAAATACAGGAGGATCAGAACGAATATGTCCCTGTGAAAGCTGATGTTGCACGTCAGGGTGGATATATTGATTACCTTGAGGTGCATGCTGATAGTGAGGTTGCATACTAGGACGATGTGATATGCCTCTTGCTCTACAGGTACGAGCGATATGGCCAACTTTATTGCATTCGTTGCATATAGGTAATTCATCTGTTGTGCGACGGTGACGGTTAAAGGGCACACCAGAATTTGACGGGCGATGTGGGGGTATTAGGTACTGTGTCTGTCGCCGTACCTCCTCCCAAACTAATTTTACAATGTGGTCTGATTCATGCCTTGGATGAAATTATGAGGGCTGGCGCCAATTGTCGCGACTTGGGTTGCTTACTTCGTTAGATCTCGCAGGTTTTAGATAGTGATTATAGGCTGCTATATTTGGTACCTGGTTTTGGTCAGTTTTACTCACAAGATTCTCTAGATTTTTAACAACAGATTCGAGCTGAGATTCAAGCTTATATTGTGCTAAACCAGGCGTGCTCATTGACACGGCTTCCTTTAGTTGGGCAAAGTTTTCTGCCTCTACTAGACTTTTTGGTTGCCCTAGGATAACATGACTTTTTAAATCTGGTCGAATGCCCTGAATAAAATAGTGCATGCTTTCGATGTCGCTTAAACCTAACTGTTTAGACATGCGCCTTAATTCTGCTACATAGTTAGCCACAGACTCAGTTCCATGCTGCTTTCTCGCTGACAATTGCTGACGCAAAAGCCAAATTGATTCCGGATTGCTAAACTAGTCCTTGACACAACATGTGGTTCGTCGCATATTTCAAGCCAAAGCAAATAAGTAAGGAAATAACATGTACCTGAAACAGAGCAGATAGATAGATAGAATGTCTTTAATGTTTCGACTTCGCGTCGCGTCGTCGTCGGTCCGTTTCTTTAGGCATGTTGTAAAACATGGACTGGACTGGACTTGTAAAGTATGGACTGGGCTGGACTGGACTTGTAAAACATGGGCTTGTAAAACATGGATTTGTAAAACATGGACTTGTAAAACATGGACTTGTAAAACATGGACTTGTAAAACATGGACTTGGGAAACATGGACTTGGGAAACATGGACTTGGGAAACATGAACACCAATCTTCGAATTTGTTGGTTTCAGCTCATTAAACACACAAAAACACATTACAAAATATCTTGCCACTCTCTGTATGAGGCGCCGAACCGGACAAAATTGTCTTTTAGAAAAAAATATGTGTCAAACTACGAAAGTTTGCTTAAATGCAAAAATATATCCACTCAACTCTTGATAAGTATCTGCTAAACTTAATTAATTGGTTCTGATCTCAATATATATCGGACAAACTTGAAAAATATATGCTAAACTTAAAATTTTTGTGTTCAACTTAAAATATACATGTTAATATTTTCATAAATATTGGCTAAAGTTGGTATCGCCATGGCAAACTAAACTCAACCACGAAAATAATTGTGAAATTTTATAAAATTTGCCAAACTCCAAAAATACATGCCTTTCGAAAAATATATGTTCTAATTAAGATGCTTTGCGGGCTTGTTTACATCATGTGAAATTAGTGAAAATGCAACGGCCGCCATTTGTAGCGGATTCTGCGATTGTCGAAGATGCTAAACCAGAATGAACTACAATTTCACTTGAGTAACGCGTTGCAAAGAATAAGTGAACTGGAAAACGCTAATATTTTAAGTGCAATAAGAGCGATGGTAAGAAATGACGAGTTCACAGGAAATCAGGTATTGAAAAAATGAACAGTAAAAATGCCTGTTTATCGCAGAGACGGTCAGAACGTCGTCAACGTTGAATGGGTGTCATTTTTACAGTCAGCCAAATCAATTATAACCGGCGTAGCATCTCTATTAACAGAAACCATTACTGAGGATGCCTTAAGTAGAATCGATCATTTGGAGGTCTTAAATAATCGATTAGAATGTACGTGCTCCTTCTTTACGACCCTACTGAACAACACGAACAATGATCAAGAAACATTCGGTGTGCTTGCAAGCGCTTTAAACAGCCTAATGTCCATTCAAAGGGCACTTAGTCTTGAGATGGAACGGCTCCAATCAATCAATGATGAGCAATGTTACAGGTGTCCAGTTAATCATACAAACAGACCTGGTCGACCAAAATATGATATTACAAAGAATCAGCTTGAATTTTTGCGAAGCAAGCACTTTTCCTGGGTTAACATAGCCAAACTGCTGCATGTGTCTACTCGAACATTGAGGAGGAGAAAAAATGAATTAGGTATGAATGATGAGTTTTCTGCTATTTCGGAGGAAGAACTTACCCAAGCTATGGAAGACATAAGGAAAGTGACCCCAAATATTGGTCAGAGTAGGATGGTTGGTGCCCTTCGGGCTAGAGGGCTGCATATACAAAGGCATAGAGTGAGGAAATGCCTAAAAAAAATTGATCCTATCGGAACAGCACTTAGATGGAACTTGACAATCTACCGGCGTAAGTATCATGTTCCACACCCAAATGCACTGTGGCACATGGACGGCAACCACAAGCTGATACGATGGCGCATAATAATTCATGCATGTATTGATGGTTACAGCCGACTTATTATTTACCTGCAATGTGCAAATAATAACCGAGCCTCAACTGTTCTAGAGTTTTTTGAACATGGAGTCACAGAGTTTGGTTTACCATCAAGAGTCCGTTCTGACCATGGCTTGGAAAATGTTAGTGTTGCACGCTATATGCTTACTAATAGGGGTTGTGGCAGGGGCAGTATGATAACCGGTAAATCTGTGCATAACGTTAGAGTTGAACGCCTCCACAGAGATGTTTACTGTGGGGTACTTTCTCATTATGTCTGGCTGTTTACGACTATGGAAGAAGATGGTTTGCTTGACTGTCTTAATGAACATCACCTTTTTGCATTACACTATGTGTTTATTCCGAGAATTCAAAATTCTCTTGACGAATTTAAGTGCCAATGGAATAGCCACCCTGTTAGTACGGCTGAGAACCTAAGTCCAGAACAAATGTTCATCAGGGGAACTATGACCAATTGCAATAGGAATATACTGGCAGAAGAGAATGCCCATGAACAACTTGGTGCCGGTGTAGATTTAGACGAAGATGGAACTGTCTTAATCAGTGATGATGATTACGATGTTTCAGTACCACAAGTAAATGTCAGTGAAGAGCTAACCAACTTGGTACATGAAACTATTAATCCCTTAGATGACGATGGATATCATGGTGTAAATTTATATAGAGCATGCGTAGGTCTGCTATGTGAAACAACAACCAATCAATAGTGTATCCAGTTTTTTAATTTTAATGAAATGTCAAAGTTACATTATAAAAATATGACATTGTTTCAGAACAGAAACAAACTGGCGTTTAAGGCCTGGTTTAGACCTCAAACTTTTTATTTGCCAAAATTGATATTATGGAGCTAAAAGACTTCGTTCAAGTTCATTTGCGTTCAATTCCACACAAAAAGTTTGATGTAAGGAATAGGCCTATTAAAAGTCAGTTAAGCATGCAAGCGGTGATTGATATGGTAAAGCCTTCAGGAGTTTAGCAGCAAACAACTGAAGGAAAACATTGAGTTGAATTAGAAGGCAACTATACTAGTTGGTTTATATTTGAATTGGATCCGCTAATTCCCTAAAATTTTGGACTAACACCGATTTATTTTTAAAAAAATCAATTGAATTTTCTTGTTTGTGGTCAGGGGTATTCAAGCCATTTAACAAATGCATAATTATCACTGCTACAAAAAAACTGTTAAAAAATTGGTACACAATGGTTACTTTCTTTAGTTTATGTAATTATGTAATAGTACTGTATTTCATCAAAATCTTTTAGCCTGCAATTGCTGAAAATCACCATTTGCATGTTCAACATAAGAAGTAACTACTAACACAAGACTAATAAAAAATTGGCTAAAACTAGCTGAGATTAACCTTAAAAGTACCTCAAGCTAAATAAACCAAATATTAACTGTAAACAAAATATTAACAAAACCTTGACTTAACGTCTTACACCTAAAGCTGGTTTAAACAATATGGAATGACCATGACAATTTATCAGCTAAGATATTACTAAACTCCTCAGCTAGGTCATTATAAATTGGTATGTACTTGGGAGCTCCAGCAATGGTGCACAAGTATGTGCGACTGGCCGCCTAGCAAAACCTTGGACAACCACAAATGCAACCTTAATCTGTTTAGTTACAATAATATCACTACCAGTCGTAAATTGAAGAAATCGTGTTAAAGACTGACCCTGTAGAGACTTTACGTACTGCTTTAAAAAATCGAAACATTGGTTTTCAGCATCCTTAGATGGCTCACACTTGAATAGTTTTATTACCTTACGGGTTGTCGGACGCTTTTCATCATACATTTTCCTAACTCCTTCAATAGATTGGAAAGGAGGAAACGACTTTAATGCATGAATATAAGGGGTCCAACAGTGGACAACGTATTTTGGCTTTTGCACAAGTTCTTGGTGTGCAAGCTCAGAAAATAATGACATTATGTTTTCTCTACTTGGTATGCGAAAACACTTGTATGAACTCAATAGTTCTAATACTTCATCATCATTAGGAGATAACTCCTCATCCCTACACTTATCAAAGGTCTCGCGCTCATCATCAGAGATGTACATTCTGAATGATTGTATCAAGTCTTGATGAGTTAAACTTTCTTCCTCAAAAAGGCAAGTAGCAATAAATACTGAGGAAAATGAAATTGGGAAATATTTTTCCCTGATGTAGCCATAAATAAGAATCCTAACAATTGCCACCCATTCCATTTTTTGATGATCATGCCTAATTGCAGGTACTTTCTCCTGCACACCTACAGCCAAGGAATCAAAAAATTGCTGCCAAAAGCTTGTAAGAACATCCCTGGCTACACCTACCCCTTCACCCTTTTCAGGCAAGCCATTAAAACCTACAACAGTAAACATTAAAAGATTACTTAGGATGTCTGGATCTTGAAAAAGGATAATCATGTCCTTTTTGATGGTGGTCCTGTGCACTGTTACAGCTCTCACTGAATAATTTTCCATCTGCCCAGGTGTCAAAGGGTGCACTAAATTAGGCAAAAAGCAATTATATGTATTTGAAACTGACAACATCAAATAGGAAAATTTTATATACTAAAGGCGCTGTTACACTATGCAATTTTCCTTGCAACTTACAATGCAAATATAATTTTGAGGGATGTTAATTAGTAAAGAGTGTTCGAAATGCTAAGAAAACGTTAGTAGATCGTGAGAAATGTTCGTATTTGTCAACTTTAGATGCCTCAGGAGTAGAATTGCATTGCAAGTTGCAAGGAAAGTTGCATAGTGTAACACCGCCTTAAGTTACTTATAAATTTTAACAAATTAATTTTATAATTTCTGTCTTAATACTTTGTCAATTACCAAAAAATAATGCTCAAAACAAAATTAAACAAAATGAACTAGAACAGTTTGAACACAAACAGTATGAACTAATCTGGACTTTTTGCTGCTTTTATTTTCATCTTGTCAACTTACCATTTGCACAGCTTGGTTCAAGAAAACTATTGGGCAAGTCATCAAGGTCTGGCAGTTCTGGCAATATTATTTCAGAAACATCATTAACTTGTTCCACATTTACAGGGTCTAAAATTTTAATTTTTAAAGGCTTTTTGTGTATCACATTTTGAAAAATATGACAAAATACATGTGACAAAGACCTAACATTACATTATGAGAATCCATGGGGGACAACATAACTGATTTGTGAAACTGAAACAAGGCAGTGAATATTGTTTGGTTCATGCATTTTACTTAACTCACCATTAACCTGTTCATCAAGTACAGCAGGCATTGATATCAACTCTGAAACGTCCTCTACATTCACATGTTCTAAAATTTTTATAAATTAATAATTAATTATTTAGATCATTCACTTCAATACTTGCAAAATAATTGACACACCATCAACTGGTTCATCAAAAATATCAGGTAAGGTAGCAGGAACTGGGATTGAATCTAAAAATATAGAAACTATACATGTTGAAACTATATTTGTTCATATAATTGCTTATATGATTTTAGCAAAGCCTACAATTGTTACATGAAGAAACCCTCAATTGTATGCCTTGCAACAAATTACATTGAGTTTCTCTAACCCACCATTATTCTTAACTGAATTAATTAGTATTCAAGCCAAGAATTGTGATTTTGATTGCTACAAGCTAGATGATAATTAACACAAACTAATTATATATATGAATATATACTGTATCATATTAGTTGACAGCATGTTAATAACAAAACTCCATGTAAACCATCAAAAATTAACAGCTTATACCAGACTCCCATTTACCTGTTCCTTTAATATCTTCAATTTCTATGAGTTCTGGTTCTTGGACTTCTTGCTTAATTATAAACTCTTCATCATCAAATTGATCATGACTGTCACAACCAGCAAGTTTTTCTATTGAGCGTATGTATACAGCACCTTGGCCTGACAACTTCAGAAGCATGTTGCAGTTCATCATGACACCAGGAGCTAAATTTGGCAAAACGAGTTTTCCATAGGAGGCCTGTAATAAGTAAATATAATGTGAACATTACATGCCTATCAGGGAGCTTAAATGGGACTGGTAATCAAAGAATACCCTGGATTTGTTTTCATGCAACAATTTAATACATTGTTCTAAGGAAGAATTTATAACACAGGCATTGTTATAAGAGATTACAGGTCTATGTTTTTGTAGTATACATACATAATTACGTACCTTGACGTATTCATAACCACAACATTGGATCTGGGGAAAGACTTTTTCTATTTCTCTTTTCAAAGTAACATTATCCCATTCTCTTACAAAAGGAAAGCTGTGAATAACGAAACCATCACTTTCTAAAGTAACCCGAGAAGAATGAGTAGGAACTGAAGTTTGAATTGGGTCCGGAACCAACACCAAGTCTTTGTGAACTGCTTTCGGCTTGATTTCTACTTTAGAGCTTGACGTACGCTTTCGCTTTTTCTTGTTGACACCAAAAGGAGTCGCCGAAGCCCGAGTCAACGGCATTTGTGTTGACCTTATGGTTGAATTGATAGAGGGAATTACTGGAATTTCAGCGCTGTTTGACTGCAAATTTGCTAAGCTGGGAAAACTCCTTCGCAGTTCTTCCGTTAAGGTTAACCTACTGTTTCCTCTGGAATTGTTCGTCGAACAGGTCTGGTTATTAGGAGAAATATTAGCGTTTTCCAGTTCACTTATTCTTTGCAACGCGTTACTCAAGTGAAATTGTAGTTCATTCTGGTTTAGCATCTTCGACAATCGCAGAATCCGCTACAAATGGCGGCCGTTGCATTTTCACTAATTTCACATGATGTAAACAAGCCCGCAAAGCATCTTAATTAGAACATATATTTTTCGAAAGGCATGTATTTTTGGAGTTTGGCAAATTTTATAAAATTTCACAATTATTTTCGTGGTTGAGTTTAGTTTGCCATGGCGATACCAACTTTAGCCAATATTTATGAAAATATTAACATGTATATTTTAAGTTGAACACAAAAATTTTAAGTTTAGCATATATTTTTCAAGTTTGTCCGATATATATTGAGATCAGAACCAATTAATTAAGTTTAGCAGATACTTATCAAGAGTTGAGTGGATATATTTTTGCATTTAAGCAAACTTTCGTAGTTTGACACATATTTTTTTCTAAAAGACAATTTTGTCCGGTTCGGCGCCTCATACTCTCTGCCCCAACCTTAATTTGCCGTCGAAATTGGACGGCGATGACGAAATAGAAAACCTCTACTATTTACAGGCATACATTTGTATCATATATAGTTAGATTGCGGTAATTAGCCTTTCTCACGTCGATGTTAGAACTGACTTGGTTTGTACGTCGACACTCCGACTAACACCAAAGTCACTCAAACGGCAGACAATTGGACAAGCGTGATAAGCTTTACCATAAGAGAAGTATCATCCCTGCTATTGCACATATGTTGATTACATACCAAAATGTTCCCAGGTTTTAAATCACGATGCGCTGTATCATAGCTGTGAAGATAGTCCAGGCCAGTGATGACATCTTTCATGCATACAGGCAAAACCTCCGAAAATGATGAAAAATTATACTCCGCGTCTACAAACTGGAGAAAATCGGCTAGAGAACTGACGCTGTTATCAACTCCAAATATGCCAAAGTTAAAACAGGAATACTGCATCATGATTGCATATGGTTTGGTACACAGCCCCAAAAATTCTGTGATGTTTCTGTGCCCTTTAATACTATTAAAAATAGTCGCTTCTTTAACAAATCGAGCCGCAAAATCAAGAGAAGCATTCTTTAGTTTTTTTACTACGCCATCCTGTTGGCTGGTAGCGTCGTGAACATATTTTGCCAGGTGTACGGAACCAAAACTACCAGAACCGAGCTTTTTCTGCTTTATTATATTAGCCCATTCAAATTTTGGTAAAACAGGCTTATCGTTTGGCTTTTGCGTCAGTTTGGAAAGCTTGAAACTACCGAACATTTTGGTTTACAGACCTTTACATTGTTGGAGACTGACAGAGATTAAATAAGTAATTTGATATACTCGTGTGATGTACTCGCCCAAGGCAAAGTCTGGGCAGCCTATGATTTGTTATGAAATAATAAACCGGCACGCGCTTAACGCGCGCGTAACCATTTTCCATTTAATTTATTTTTCAATTGAATTGTAGTGTCTGCTTGATATTGACACAGAGTAAACAAATAAAGCAATAGATACATGCAGAGCTGTCTATTACTTACTCCGTAATATTGGCGGCAGAGAGTGTTCATGTCTTACAAGTTCAAGTCCATGCATGTTTTACAAGTCCATGTTTTACAAGTCCATGTTTTACAAGTCCATGTTTTACAAGTCCATGTTTTACAAGTCCATGTTTTACAAGTCCATGTTTTACAAGTCCATGTTTTACAAGTCCATGATTCATTGTTCCACAATGTTTCATTGTTTATTTGTGCATCGCCCGTGCATATACAACGTATCTCAGTCATATTGCTTATATAACACATGCCTTCAGTTTGTCGAAACATGTTTGCTTTAAAAAGAATCGTGATATGCTTAC